GATGTGGAACAAGGGATATCATAGCTGTTGTCAGATGGATCTTGGCTCAAGGAAGGGACTACCAGAAAGATGTTTACTTTTGTTTTATTGACTATGCAAAGGCACTTGATTGTGTGGATCATGACAAATTATGGATAACATTGAGAAGAATGGGAATTCCCGAGCACTTGATTGTACTCATGAGGAATCTGTACCTTGACTAGGAGGCTGAACAGAAGATTTCAAAGGGCAGCTGAAGAAGACAAAGCAGAGTATTATAATGAAATGCACAAAAACCTGGAGTTAGAAGACCAAAAGAGAAGAACATGCTTGGCATTTCTCAAGCTGAAAGCAGAAAAGAGAAGAGAAAAGAAGAAAGGAAATAAATAAATACATAAATAACTAAAATAGTGAATAAATGCACACATGTCGTGTATGCACATACACATAATATTCCTGTTATTTTTGATTTCTTAGAATTCAGGTGAAAATTATCATTAATGGGCTAAATCACTACAATGTATATTAGTTGAGATTTTTGAAATTCTTATTTTTATAATGAACCTTTGGTATCTAAAATATATTAGAGAACTATTCTGGTTGTCAACTTGGAGTAGATCAATAAATGGCCCTGAGTAGTGTTACAGAGTAGATGTGTGTTGAATGGGCTGGATTAGGAAGGTTGGACTTCCCATCTGCTAAGGGCCTGTTGGGGTGATTTTCTTTGGCCTACAAGGCTTCTGTGGCTATTGCCACTTTCTAGAGGGAGGTCAGTACCACAGTAGAGCCCATGCACAGTCCTGCCAATGCATCCCATTTATGGGTAGTTAACTGCCCAGAACACTAAATTGAGTGAAGTTTTCTTTGGGAGTATAATGATGATTGAGTTAGCCTGTGCTGACATTGTGATATTTTTAGCTTCTATTAAATTAACAAATTATTTGTGGTTTCCCTTTTCATTTCGTTTTTCTTTAAGCAAAATGTAGAAACAAACTGATGTTTTTTTCTGGAAGGTTTAAAAAGTGTCACCATTTTTACAAGTCTTTAGTTTAGAAAAGGCTTCAGCTAAAGCACATCATTCAAATTACAGTGATGTTGTGACTCATGGTTAGCTGGAAGTGGTGGAAGGTTACATCATGAAAATTTTGGATTGTAAAATGTATTGAGTGTCAGTAGAAATGATAATATTTTCTTAAATTTATTGTATAAAACACATTATAGCAGTAACAAATTAAAAAAGGCAAAGCACCTATAACTTTACACACTTCAGAAATCTGTTATTTTCTAGATCTTGTCCATGTGCATAAATACAAATTGTATATATTTTCATTTAACAGAAATATAACTAAGAGAAAACCAATCAGTAGGCTTTCGTGAAACAACAAAGCCAGGTTATTAGAAAGATATTTTAAAAGATACAGCTGTGTCTTAGTGGGCTCGTCTTAATTACATTATTAATGAACTGCTAGGAATGAATTTGAATTTGTTCCCTTTGGCTTAAGAAAATTATACTCTCTGTTATTTATAACAAAAAATTGAAAATAACCTCAAAGTCCATCCATTGGGTTTTGAGTAAATTATGGGTAATCCATACGATGGAATACCAGACAAGGCATTTAGCAGGATCTGGCAGATCGACAGATGCTTATATACTGACATGGAAAGAAGTTCAGATATATTTCTAAGTGAGAAAATATTTACAGAGCAGTATGTATAATATGGTCACATTTGTGCAAACATTTTTTTTACATGTTTATATGAGCATTTAGGAGCTCTGGTGGCATAGTGCCTAAGGCATTTGACTGCTAACCAGAAGGCTGGCGGTTCAAACCCACCAGCCACTCCTCAGAAGGAAAGCTGGGCAATCTACTTCTGTAGTGATACTGCCTCGGAAACCCAAGGAGGGGTCGCTATGAGTCTGATCCGACTTGACGGCAGTGGGTTTGGTTTTGGTTTATATGAGCATTTATAAAATTTATGAAGATCTATGCTAAGGTGTTAACAGTATTCTCTCTAGGAAAATAAGATTACAGAGGAAGCTTTTTCTGTATCTTTATAAAATTTTTTTGCAACAATTATACCAGGGAAAACTTTTTCCATTTTGAAAACTTTCAAACGTTTATAGTAATGTTTTTTGCATTCCTTTTAATACTAAAAGTTCCTTCAAATTACCTTTCCTGTGGGTTGTGGTGAGCAATGTAACTGCCATAATGTTTTCCTTGAAATTTCACTCTAACCACAAATAAGGTGCTTCATTTATCAGCTAAAATAAGACTTTTTTTTATGCTATTGCTTTATCACAATAAATAATCATTATAAAATTGGAATTTGTTTCCAGTTATGTGGCTTTGGTGATTATTAAGTTTTTAATAAATAGAAAAGCTGCATTTAATAATAAAATGAACAGCTTTATTTCATTAATAAAACACAAAGCTTGTGTTGCTGTTGGCTATTCCTTTTAATGAAAGAAAGGGTAGTGGGAAAAGCCATGTAATGGAAAACCCTGTTATTTTCTTAAAACTATCTGGCTATGACTATTGTACACATACAGCCAGCACTGCAGAGCAGCAGGCCTGATCACAAAATTTATGGGCACTTTCTTTGCCAGCTAATTTTTCTGCTGCTTCTTTTTTCTTTGTTTTTCACGTTAGAGAAGTATTCATCTGTTCCTATTTTATTAAATGCTTTTTTTTTTAATTTCATTTTGATTTGGGTGAAGATTTACAGAGTAAATTCACTTTTCATACAGCAGTTCACATAATATACTTTGTCTCATGTCATTGACCAAAATTTACAATGCAACAGCTCCCCTCCTACTTCCTCCCCATAGTTACCTCTTCCCAGTGTCCATCCCTCCA